TCGCTCTACAATTAACATTGTGATTAGCTCGGAAAAAGCTGCTGAATTAGCAACATCTTTAATCTACAGCTTATCGATTTTTGCCTAGCGGGATTATTCACATCCCTTACCTTCGTGCTTATCGAAATGGGCTGCGGTTGGCATGGGACTCTTACCTCTCTGAAGCTGCTTACATTTGCGAGCATTAGCCGCTTGTTGTACCCTCATCCTCTGAATTTCTTTGTCTTTGCATATAATCAAGCGAACGACTAAGATCACACTTTATAGCATCTCTTAGAAGTATTGCCACTTACCATGGAGACGCTTGGCAGCCTTTACAGCTCGAGCATGAGCGCATCGCACCCGAGCAACAGGGTTCGAGCGCTTCGTAGTGCTAGCGCACTCTATTATCGAAGCTTCGCGGAGCGGTGAGATGCCGAATGCGGTCGAATCTGGCGGAGTATACTTGAAGCTTTTTGGACAGGTGGTTACACACATATAAATCACACGTAGTAAATGACACGAGGGCTAGCGCATTATCTCGCTTAAGTTAGGGAACCGCACTCCAATAAACGTACGTGGAGCCGTGCTCATGACGAGGGCGGCACGTTTTATTAGAATTCTGACCTCAATGGCAAGCGAACGATTAGTCACATATCCACATTCAAATCACTGCAGCCTATACCTCAACGCACGGCTTCTTCGCAAAGATCGGCTTGCTTCCCGAGATCTTTTTGGATTCTGCCCTTGCCGTCTTGTGATAAATGAGAACCCCGACGTCGATTCAAAGTTGGGTACACACAACTGCAAGTTGGATGCATAAGGCTACTACATTTCATTCACTTAAATCATAACAAATGCTACAGTTTAACATCTACTGATAATGTATTAGCTTAAAACAAACTTCAACATCAGTGCACGCTGCGGGTGTAGCCAAAGAGTTCTTACGAACTTCTTACGAAGAGTCGGCACATCAGGAATCCTGATTTGGCGCCTAATCGGATTCCGAGGTCGGTCAAATCAGAGTCTGTGTCTACAGAGCGACGAGTGGCCCCACTTATGTTCCATTCGCAAATCTGATCCAAAATCACCTTGAACCTTATAATCCAACACTGCCTGATACAAAGCGGCCCTTCACACCTTCGATAAAAATGGATCCTCTGTTTAGTGACTGTTAACACTTTCGTTTGAGGGATCTTTCACGTTTCTCATTTTATTTCCTCACACAATGCAATCACTCTGTTCTTAAAGAGAAGTTTTTTTCGCCAAAAATCGTCCCCTGGTGTGCGATTATTAAAACTGTGCCCTAACCCTTTTTCTAATACCGTTAAAAAATGTCTGTAAAAAGAGTAGTTGTTGTACTTAAAGAGAGTACAAAGTGTATGCTTCATTATAGGGGGGCTTTGCCCCAAAAATAGAACCTGATATATTGTCTCTCAGCAGTCTAGAACTGGGATCTGTGTGTCCAAAGATCCCACCAGGTTTCAGACGTACAAATATATGACACGATGAATCGGTTCTCTTGAAAAACGGAAGGTAAGGTATCTCCTAAGGATAACAACAACACTGAAGACGCGCGATCGCCGGCTGTTGACAACTGAATGTCCCTATCACGACATGAACAAAATAGTCTTCTCGTAAACGAGGAACGTCACTCCGCTAACAGGAAAAGCGCGAACCATGGTCGCTCCAAATCCTTTGAAAAAGAATCCCAGCCCTTCCTGCTTCACCCCCGACCTTGCAACCTCTATCATTGACATCTGCTTTCCCTCTAATTTCTGTCCTTGTATGCAACTCTTGACCACATCGAATGGCAGACACATCGCCCACGAGATCATCCCAGCAACTCCACCCGACGTCATGAGTTTCCAATCCGTCTCGTTCTCGGTTTTTCCTCCTGTTAATGCTCGTTTGGTCGCTTCATAGCAGCAAAAGTAGACGCCAAATGACGGTGCATCCCTCAACAAGCAGGCCTCCCATCCCTTAAACAGCGTCTTCATCCCGTATCTCCTGTACATGGTCCTTGCAGCGTTCAACGAGCTGTGTTCCTTGCCCATTGCTCCTGTTTGTAACTGGATTTTAACGTGCTCCGACGGTGCCGCGAACACCACCTGGACCAGTCCAGCCAAGCTCCCCGCTATAAAGTGCTGCGTATTGGACAACGGAGCGTTCTCCTTGGTCTGCATCATACGCACAGCGTGTCCCTGGACTCCGAAGATGGCGGCGTTGATAGGTGCGTTGGACAGGATGGGAGACAGCAGACCCCGGTACAACCCAGCAGCGCCATCGGAGCTGATGACACGACGGAGAGTGCGCAACACGCCTGCGCTCGCCTCGCGGCTGGTCTGGAGCTGCACCTTGATGGTGTCTAAGGGATGACCAGCGATGATACCTGCCACGCCGCCAGCGGTGCCGGCGTTCAGGTCCTTGGCGATCTCTAGCCACGCCATGCTCTGCGGGATGGAAGTGATGAACTGACATTGTTGTTGACACAAACACTGCATCACCAACGATTTGTTTCCAATATGTTGCTGAGCAGAGGCACAATGTTGCCCGAAAAAATAGCAACTTAGGAACTTCAAGCTGATATGTGATTCACGGATATACACTGTATTGCAACTTCCGTTTCATTTATATTTGTCAGACGGTAGTGCAGGAATTTACTGCTCGGGGTGTACTGTATTCTTTTCCTTTGATGAAAAGATATTTCATTAAGCTGGTCAGCGTGTACAGGGAGTGAGCTGAGGTGCACTCAGGATTAACAAAGTATCCTGTTGTACTGCAACTTAAGCATTCAAGAAGCCTGTGCCCACCCTACTAGGCAGAAAATACTGTAGTATATTATATTGGCTAGTGAGATAGATAATAACTAAATCGCTTGCTCTCATACCGGTAGGGTTAAATTAGGTCCCAAAGACACTTTTCCATTTGAAAACCTCAGCCTTTCGATAAAAAAAAATAATCTCTAACGTGGCCTTGCATTTTTCCGCTCCAATAATGCCTCGAATTCCACTGCTACCGATAATTGGATCCGCACAGTGCGGCAACAGCCTGCACCAGTGAAGCTGTTACTGAAGAGTAGCTATGGCAAAGTTATGATGCGGTCTGGGCTTACCACGTCGGTCTGTTATTCTTCTGCTCAGTCGATGGTTCATTCATGGCTCACTAAGCTAGATAATTGCATCCAGTATCCGTATATACTTCACCGAGTTCCTCAGCGCCTAACGCTGAACATCATAATTCTAATCTGTACGGTGTTCAGATATAGTCGGTAAGTTACTGTAATAGTAGTTTTCTGGTGCTCATCTCACTTGCCATGGTGGGCTAGCTGTTTTCAAAAAGCGTTGTCTTAGATATTTTGTAGTATAACTGGGAGAATTTTGATCTCAAAGACGCCGAATGACAGTGTTCCCTCGAAGGAGGACTTGATCGATCTCTGATTCCTTTAAAGTCGTGGTTTGGCACGTTTACGCATTGAATCCTTCGAGAAGCCTGGTAGGTTTTGTTCTTGATGTCGAAGACGTCGTTCCGTATAAGGTAGCTTGAATAGTACTTGGTAGCTTCCGTTGATGTAGGCCTGGTCATCATGAGCTCGCGCTACGAACGAAGGTTGTCCAAGCTGAATGTTCCTGGAAGGTCTCCTAATGTTACTTGTAACTCAGTCGACAATTGGAGAGATGTAATATCACTCCGTATCCCTCCTGGTATAATTATTGCTGTATCAAGCTCGTCAACAATAATCACTGCAAGTATTGTGATTATTTACAGAATGGCGGACGCCCTCGCCAACAGGGCGATGGATTCTTGCCAAAGCGTCCAAGTGCGGATCGATCCGACAAGTCGCTGCTGCCTTCGCTGGGCAGTGATCTACTGTCACGTGGACACGGATGTAGGCTCCTGGCTTACTGCACATGCTGGTGAGAACCTCTGGAGGTTTAGAGCCTCCCCACTATGGAGCCCTTGGTCGTCAGCCTAAGGATCAGGACGGCCGGATTGAGACGGCAGGTCGACAAGGTTATAGGATATCGTTAGCTAACGGCAGTTAAATCATAACTATGTTATATTACAAAAAGAGTATTGTGATTATTTTCGTATAATGCTGCTGCATCGAATTCGCCACTACCAGCACCGACGTTGTGTAGCACCACTGGATATCACGGTAGGAGTAGTCTTTGAAATACGCTGGGAGAAGCGGTGAAGGCATTAGAGACGCTATACTATTACACAACGGATAATTTCTCGCATCAATTCCTTAATTTAGTAGGGGCCATATTTTCCATCTTGCGCACTGGAAATCAGGGTTTTTTTTTTTGAGAGTCGTTGTGTTCGCCAGCGCGGAGAGCACTAAGAGCAAAATCGTCGTCTACTCTCTCCCTCTTGTCTACTATACTTTACGTTTTCACATACAAGAATTGGCTTCTTCTGCCACTGCCACTCAGCTGTGAGAGCAAAGTCGTTAGTGATCTGATACTTAATCTTAACATACTATTCAAATTTCACAAAACTTGCAGTAGGACGTAGGTATTGAACGCGTGCTCGATATTTTTCGATTATGCTGCCGAAATCACACGGACATCAGGTTACGCTCAGTACTCCACTTGCAGAGCCAACGTCACACACTGCAACATGAACTTATGCCATATTTCACAACTGCTAAGTGGATAAAATAGCAACAGTTTATCTCTTCCACATGAATACGTGGCTAGACACCCAGATTGGATTCAACGAATTTGTTGGATATAGTTTGACGGTTTCCGATTCCTCAATATAATTATTATTGGCACAATTTGGTATTAAATTGTAGAGTTGATGAAAGAAAAACAATAATTAAATTGCTCGCCATAAAGTGTTATTGAAATATAATACTATTATCCTATCCCTGCTACTAGGTATCGAAACGAACTGAGCAACTACATGCGAAACCGATCAAATAACATTTGGCTACTGTAGCAGTGGAGTTGTGCGAACACGTAAAAGTGCAGAGCAATTTCAAACAAGAATTACCTCGTGGAATGGTTAATTTTCCGATGGAGACTTGTGGGAAAATTGCTTTTCAGGAGGAGACATCCATCATCGTCGACCAGAATGCACACTCAGCCAGAAACATCGACAAGCGGCACAGTTTCATCTCCGAGCGGTTTGTTGTTGTCGGTTGAGGGTGAGAAAGGTGTTGCAAAACCGACGGTGGTTCTTACACAAGCAGTTCGGACAAGATAGTTAGCGTAGATATATTCGAGTTCTCATTCTCCAATTTGAGTAGCCTCAGTCGGACAATTAACCCACCACACCACGCCCAGGCAACCTCAACGCCAAGCAGTGAGGAACCGCCAAATACATTAAGTTTTAGTGCTGCTGCTTGGCAGCACGCTCCAAGGATGTTTCGAGTGAAATGCCAAATACTACTAGTAGTATCAAGAACGCCGTGAAACAAGTTAGAATAACGACGCGATTTTTATCTGTGCAAGTTTCTTGTCTAGGCCTTTGCCTTTAAGATTGTTTTCTAGGCTCCACGAATTGAAATTCGGCGATGTCTTGTCTTCAATTGCTATGCTTGATAACGATTGTGGTGTAGACATACCAAGACGTTTGCATTCGTTCTCTTCACTGTCGAAGGTGGTGGCAGTTTCGATTGTAAACGCTTCTACAATCACTCTTTCTGGGATCGAATTCAGGATTTGGGGGAGGGAGACCTGATTGCATCTCGGCGTTCACTTCGCCGCTGACTTGGACCACGCAGAGCGCGATGGTAAAGATTGCCGCCTTGATGAGCTTCATGCAAACTTCCTGCTCGTATCACTGTACAGTAGATGCCTTTCCACCTACGAGTCGAATGAAAGAATGAGCTCCGAGTGTGAGATCATGTTTTACCGGTACGATAAACATCATGGCGTTCGTATCGCTATGTAGTAAACCTTATGGGTATGAACGAGAGTCGGGTAGGATAAAGAAAAGGGATAAATCCTACCTCGTAATCTCTTTGGCGATACCGGTACCAAATGAACTCATTGGACCAAAAACCATTTTTTTCCACAAATATCCACACACATCTCACAGTATCTGTCGCTATAGAAATTGAGTATGCTCAGCAATAATTGAATATCTCAATACTTACACTTGAAACCACTCATAATGAATTGAGATACTCACGTGACACCCGCGGGTGAAGAATGTATTTTTGTTATATTTTTTTACCCCTTTATGTGTTGCTAGCTGGCGCAACCATATAGAAGTCATGATCCTAACATTGTTCCCACCTAGGCATTATCTCGATCATCAAGACTCGATGTAATATATCTGGATTTGCAGCCATCTGGGTACAGTATCCTACGAATGAATACGAAGCAGAGGCTATCTAAGTTACAGTAGTAAATAGCTTTTTAGAGCCTCAAGAACAATGTTTATTATATGTATGCATTTAATATCGTTCATTTGAGATATCGCCCATTGTGCCTGGGCCGAAGTCGCCATCGCTGTTCGTTGATCTGGAAGAGATGTGGCGAGTAGATAGGCGCCGACATCGGCGACATCATAGGCGTATCCCTCGGCGAGAAGAAGCACGGTATTTCGTGGCTGATCCGTGGTGGTTGACTCACCAGTCGCATTGGCGTGCAGATCACATCGCTGCGGTATCCACTGGAACACAGCTTCCCTACTGACACAGGCGTCGAGATGTCGCTGCCACCGTAGAACAAGAACTGGACCTGTTGTTCCTCTTCCTCCTCGTGCAACACTGACGCTGAGCGTGATTGTGACCGTGAACGCGACAATGTGAATTGCATACGGCCACTAGACGAAGACTGAAATGACGGCGGGGGGCGCGATAGAGAGAAATCGTATTTGAGGTCGTTCTCCCAACATGCTCGATCAAATTTGGGTGGATTCCTGCGAACCCCGGGCGAGGTCTTGCTGTAGTAGTACGGATCCAACACGTCGCAGTAGCTTTTGCAGTCTTCGAACGGTCGACGCAAGAAATCCCACATATCGCGAAAAAACGTACACACTCCCATTTGAGAACGCCTCGGTTAGAGTATCGCTTTGGTCGCGATAACGTTAGCGTTAACCGTTGAAGCTACAGAGAGGTGATGGCAATTGGTACTGAATGGGATAGTGCAAGAAGTCAAGTGAATTGATCGGAGGAAATGATGAAATGTACTTAGTACAACTGGAGTGCTCTCTGTTCTTGCACGAACTGTGTCTAATCTTCAGACAAGAAAAATTGACATGTGAGCTAGAGGGGGCTTACAGATGTCGGTACTGCGTCCCTCTCCACAGAAAGTATGCATGTTAGACAAACATGTGCGTTGCGGTTGGAAAAGGCACGTTGTGGGACACATGGTCAATATGGGTCTCTTCATGAACGCCCCCTTAATCAACATGCAACGTCCTCTTCCACGCAAACTCTCGATTGTACCAAATTATGATTTTTGTCCGGAAACACAGGAGCCAATGAATTAGTAAACCTACATATGTACCATTGAACTGTGCCCGCAGGGCTTCTGCGAAAGCACCACGCCCGTTAAGGAGACTGGCGAAACCGATGCTGTTGCGAGATCTCAGGTAAACTACGGAAATAGCTCTCGATGAAGTCAGATATTGATTTCGCTGTCGGTATGCAGTCACTGTTAACGGGTTAATTTGAATGGCGCGAGAAAGATTGATGACCAAACAAATTGTATAGTGATGGAAAATTAAGAGTTAATTAGATGCAAGAGCCAAGCTCACGTTACGTAAATTTTATGAAATTACCATTGTAAACGAATGGACAACAAACCTCGGTGGGTGCAGTTTGACCAACTTACAACTTGTAAATACGATACATTCTGGTGTGGAATCAAATGCGACAAGCATATTCAAGATATTCTAATCCACGATCGTAAATATGAGAACTCATACAACACGACAAAGAGCTTCTCTAACAGATGAAAAAGACGCCGCCGCGAAGCTTTCGACGTGCTTTGATATGAGGTTAAGTAATGGTTCGTTCTGATCAGTACTCTATCTTAAAAGCCCGAATGATGCCTGGTTCAATCTTCTCGAAAGAGATGATCAGTCGTGAGAAGGCATACACAGGAAATGTATCGAAGCTGGTCAATGAGCTTCCAGAGAATCGCGTCCACGAGATCCATTGCGATGCTGGGATGTTTGCGCACGGTTTCGTGGTGCTGATCGGTAGGAACTCGGCGTTGATGTGTCAGTACATAGAGTTTATAACGAATTGATTTCTGTACACACTGGTGTCTCTATCTAACATCTTCAACGTGATAACCTCTTTAACTAAGTAACTGTAATATTAAAAACATGCGCCGCGTTTACCCAACCGGGTGAAGAAGACAGTTTCTACTGCAGAATGCTAGTAGACGCTCATCACTGGGTCACACCACTTGAGTGGTTAGTTGGCTCTCTTCTGAACAAAACGGTTACTATCCATATCTCGGAGCAGGTGGTCGTGTCTTAGATATACTACGTGTCGGTAAGCAGCGAACAAACCTCCGAATATATGTTCTTGATAGCGACCTGAAGCCGTAGAAGTAGCGAGCCTCAGATACCTGCACTGCAATACTGAGCTCATATCCAAGTTTTCATTGGCGATGCCATCGTTTGACTGTTTTAAAGTGGAATTCCGTCTTCTTGCAGAACTGCCATACATCGTGCTCCAGAATCATGAAGAGCACGAAGAGTTCGAGACACGGGACCAGGTACGGCTCAGGCTGCACTCCGTTTAACACTTGGCTTTTGTACTCGGAAAGCTAGAACGCATCCTTCATATCGTTACCATTGACGAAGCTCTCCACAAATCTCCTGCTCCGGTGATTTGGCCGAGGCGGTGGGTCTGATACCATTGTTGCTGGGGAAAGGTTCTTTCGTTCGAGAGTTGATAGGTGCTATCAGGGGTCACTTAATGCATCGCGAATCGGAAATAAATACCTTCGAACTGCCGTACGGAAAACTTGTTTATAAAGCGCAAGAAACACCAGCGATTTTGGCGAATTCCTGCGCAGGAAGGCTGAAGTTGAAGCTAGCAAGTTGCTCTTATCCAAACGCCTTGGAGCAACTTATCCGCAACATAACATTCTTGTCGTAAGCCCCGTAGCAAGCGCTGCACTCATCTTCACGTCACTGTTTTGCAAAGTTTAACGAGTTGGGTATATGCTCTAGCTATGAGCTCGTGTTTGACAAAAGGAACAGACTGCGATTAGTAGCAATTGCGGTATGAAGAGGATACTCCTTGGTAGAACATCAACGACAGCTGATGGTCGGGTTGGGAATCCAAAGCTTCGATTGTAAAGCCGCGCTAATTACATGAACTAACGTGCACCGCTTCCAAACACGTGGCATTCACCGAATGACAGTAGTCTCACCAAACCGCTCTCACCACCAATCGAATCGAACCCACGCAGAGGCTCGAGATGCAGCAAGATACATACTGCCAACCACCCCGTCATCTCGTGCTTCCCATCGAATCTTCTGTTCCTCAACTTCCGTCCAGCACGCGTCCTGCCTCATAATTGCACGATTAGTTCAATCGTGCGTTTGAAGTTGGCAAAAGTCTCTCAGCACCTTAAAAAGTCTCTCAGCAACTTAATGTCCTGGCCACTGGTGTGCTGCACATCAACCTTCGTCTTCAAGAGCTCTATGCCACTTTTGTGTAGCTCTTGGTTTGTGCCATTCGCGGAATCCCTCGCCAGCCGCAAGATGGAGTGGCTGGACATCGCCAAGGACCTAAACGCCGGTACCATCGGCGGCGTGGCTGGCATTGTAGCCGGCCATCCGCTGGACACCGTCAAAGTGCAACTACAGACCAGTCGCGAGGCTGGCGCCGGCGTCTTGCGGACTTTACGCCGAGTTGTTGGCTCGGAGGGCGCAGCGGGGCTGTACCGAGGCCTGCTGTCCCCAATCCTGAGCAATGCACCTATCAATGCTGTTGTATTCGGTGTACAGGGCCAAGTAGTGCGTGGTCTACAGCAAGGTGATGCTCCGTTGTCCAGTACTCAGCACTTTATGGCTGGGTCCAGTGCTGGGCTAGTCCAAGTGATCTTCGCGGCACCGTCGGAGCACGTCAAGATCCAACTGCAGACTGGAGCTATGGGGGCGGAACACAGCTCTCTAGTAGCTGGACGTACGATTCTCAGGAGATATGGCGCCAGGACGCTGTTCAAGGGCTGGCAAGTGTGTCTACTGAGGGATGTACCGGCGTTTGGAGCGTACTTCTGCGGCTATGAAGCGACCAAGCGATGGCTGACTGACGGACAGAGCGAGAATGAGACGGATTTTAAGCTTATGATGGCTGGAGGCATCGCAGGGATGTTGTCGTGGGTGGTGAGTATGCCACAAGATGTAGTTAAGAGTTGCGTGCAGAGTCAGAGCCTCGAGGGCAAGCAGATGACTATGACGCAAATTGCAAGAACGAGGATGCAGCAGGAGGGACCGGGATTCTTCTTCAAGGGATTCAGCGCCACAATGCTTAGAGCGTTTCCAGTTAGTGCAGTGACGTTTCTTGTCTACGAGAAGACCATGCAGTTCATGTCTTGAGGGAGGGATCCAAGTTCCGTGCGACTATTCTGGATATTGCTGGTAGCGTGGAGTCATTGGGAATCGTTATGTAGCGCGTGACAGCGGAAACTACATGTAACTTGAAGATAATAGAAATAGTCTAACCAAAACGATATGAAGATGTTGTCGTAAGCCATCTTAAAAATAAACAAAAAAGTACCAATTTTTTGTCGACTTCTGGCCATGCACCAACCATTCCAAAACCTTGTCAATGGGCCAGGTCAATATCAAGATCGTCAAACTCGCCTGGGTCCTCCACCGGATAGCCAGAAATACTTTTGCGAATGGAGTTTGAGAAGATGGTAGCCGCAGGAATCCGCACAAAAGCGCGATCCTGCATACCCCAGGGATTTTCGAGCACTTGGATCTATTCAAGTCGTAAAGAAGAGAGGCAGCACCCGCGGTGGCTGATTAATAGCTTCTTCTGTATCTGCATTAAACGCTGCGCAGACGAAACTGACCACGTCGTTAACGTACATGCGAAGTCAGATCTTGATAATAAGTCTTGGACGAGGAAACTTCTCGCCCGCCGACAAGACATATGGACGAAAAAGCGGTGTCTGGCCAACGTACGACGCGTTGTTGGGTACGAGGAAACACCAGAGTATGGCACCTCCACCTTGACTTAAAATATCCTCGTGGGCAATTCTGCAGCGGAATAGTTGACAAGACAGCTCCACAACAAACTGCGCTTGTACTTGACCATGGACCTTGGTGGTATACACATCGGCGGTTCCGCTTGAAGCCGCATATCTCGTTTCGAAAACATCGAGGTAAAATGTTCATAAAGGTGCTGCCATTCCACTTTTATGACGGAACTCGACGACCCACCTGAATACTACAAAGGCTCCAATCGCTGTCAGTGTATGTATTTGTTGCAGGATCGACTCCAAACAGCCATCGAGCATTAAAGCTATAAGACTAATTTGTTTTTGTGCTATCGCATTTGTAAACATGCCGCTGTGTCGGCACTAATGTGCTTTGGTGCATTTTGCGTCTGATTCTTGCATTCATGCGACATCGCGCTGAAGTAACCTACTTCAGAAGTTGAAGTGGACGAAGTAACGTTAGTTGACAGCTTCGATTGAGCATCTGATTTGCAAGGTTATCAAATCCTTCAAGAAAAACTTATAAAACAAACGTTTTTAAGTCTGACAGTTTACCAAATATATTTATTATCCCAGGTGATACATCGTTACTTCACGTGAATGCGAAGTTGCACTTGTCGCCGCCACGTCAGACGCCAGATCATTCAGCAATTTGCTGCCTCGGACGCAAGTAGCCGCGCTCAGACCACGAAGAACAAGCACAAGGCAAACGCAAGATGCCTCGCATCGAGACTGAGGTCCGCCTGGATTTCAAGGACGTGCTCATCCGCCCCAAGCGCTCCACACTCAAGAGCCGCTCACAGGTGGATGTCCAACGCGAATTCCGCTTCCGCAACTCGAAGCGCACGTGGTCTGGCGTGGTACGTGTAAAGTGGCCATCACTCTGTAGTCGTCTCTTTTCATTTGACATTTTCATCCACGACAGCCCGTGATCGCCGCCAACATGGACACTGTCGGCACCTTCGAGATGGCTGTAGAGCTGGCCAAGCTCCAGTTCATCACGTGCGTTCACAAGCACTACACGCCTCAAGAATGGGCAGTCTTTGCAGCCAAACACCCGGATGTGTTGCCCACCGTCGCTGTGAGTGGTGGCTCGAGCGCTGCGGACATCGACAAGATCACGGCCGTCCTCAAGAGCCACCCAGACATCCGCTTCATCTGCTTGGATGTAGCTAACGGCTACTCCGAGTTCTTCGTCCAAGCTGTACGCAACGTACGCTCTGCATTCCCGGAACACACAATCATTGCCGGTAACGTCGTGACAGGAGAGATGGTAGAGGAGCTGCTGCTGTCCGGAGCCGACATCATCAAGGTCGGCATCGGTCCAGGCTCTGTGTGCACCACTCGTAAACAAACTGGAGTGGGTTATCCGCAGTTGTCTGCTGTGCTGGAGTGTGCTGATGCCGCTCACGGTCTCAACGGCCACGTGATCTCTGACGGAGGCTGCACATGTCCTGGTGACGTTGCTAAGGCGTTCGGGGCTGGAGCAGACTTTGTCATGCTTGGTGGGATGCTTGCTGGTCATGATGAGAGTGGAGGAGATAAGATCGAGATCAATGGGAAGCTGTTCAAGAAGTTCTACGGTATGAGCTCGTCCGAAGCCATGAAGAAGCATAACGGTGGAGTGGCGGAGTACCGTGCTTCAGAAGGCAAGAGCGTGACTGTGCCGTATCGCGGACCGGTTTCTGGAACGTGCAAGGAAATCCTGGGCGGCGTGCGCTCTACCTGCACGTACGTTGGGGCCAGCAAGCTGAAGGAAATCAGCAAGGTGAGTACGCAGGGTCTCTATATGAAGACTTGGCAGTGTGATTAATACGTGTCTTATGCAGCGTACGACGTTTATCCGTGTCTCGCAACAATTGAACGAAGTCTTCGGTCGCGCACCTAACGAGCAGGAGGAACAGGTGTCGAAGAAGCAGAAGACAGGCTGAGTTAGACCGAGTTCCATGGCTTTAGATATTTCCAAATATTGTGGTAGAAGTCTAATTGACTGAACTAAGCCGCTTGGTTTTTGTTTTGATCAACGGACAGTCTTGATGTATTATTGATGAAACTAAGGCTTGCGAAGACTGGAAATTGCTGCGGCTGTTGTGACATAACTGCCTACGTGGATGAAGCCTGTGGCGCCTAGCAAGAATAAGAAGACCACCACAGACAGGTTTGAAAATCTGAATGCTGTAGTTTTGAATACTAATGCCGTGCGTTGCCCGGATATTTTTTGCGTTAAAATAAAAAAAATGATAAAAAACAACATTAAAAATGTGCTTTCTAAAAACTATTTTTAAAATGTTTTTTTTTTTTAAAGTCTACTAGAGGAGTCTAGCTAGGTTCTTGTTGGCTATGCGAAAAAGTAATAGATGAGATGAGGCAGAAGCTTACATCCTTAATACCGGCATCCGTTTAAAGCGAAATGCCCCCAACAAGCAAAAAAAACTATAATATACTTATTATCTCCGCTCTATATGCATTGCAGTACGGTCACGAAGGGAATGAGAGACCAGAGTGGCGCCTTCGACGAAATTTTGAGTAGTATTCGGCC